GATATTTTGAATAAATATTTATTTTACAAGTTAATTTATAATTATTTTTTTTGTCTCCAATCACCGATGTTATTATATATAATTTTTTTATTATATGCTTGCTGTCAACTACAATGCAATACTTTTCTGAACCAGGGGTAGATTGCTTTAAGTATTTAAGCTAAAACTCCAAACCTTAGTGTGCTCATGTGTATACTATACAAAGCCTGGGAACTAAAATACCCTATGAATTAGTCATCAAAAAAAATATTTTTAGCTAGGCCAGATCAAAAGGGGAGGGGCAATTGCCTAACGAAATAACCCCCTCCCCCTCTCTCTTGCATGGTTTGAAAAACAATATTTTTTTGTAAATAATATTTAGTATTTGCATTTTTTATAAAAGAAGCATGCAATGCTAACTGAAACGTTAAAGTATTTTGAAGTTAAGCAGCCGTGGCGCAGTGGTAGCGCACTTGCCTCAGAAACGTAAGATCCGTGGTTCCAAACCCCACCTCTGGGCAAGTTTTGCGACATCGGTTGGGAAGGAGGCGTGAACTTCCCATTAAATGCTCTTCCGCGGTGCTTTGTGATAAGACCGTAAGGACTTCTTGGAGCACCTTAATCAACTTATAAAAAAAAGTTATTTCAGTTAATTGAAACGCTACTATTTGACAAATATTAGGGAGTTTAGTTAATGGGTTTAGGGCTAGATACTTAGCTTAGAGCTTAGTGTTACGATTCTCACCATGACATGGCCGCTTGATAGAACTAAACCATGAAGAGAAAAAGTTTTCTGATGGTATTACAAATTGATTTCTAATGTTGTTATTATTGAAATGATTACATATATTTTGTCTCAATATTTAAATATTTTGTTTTCTTTTTTATTTTCTATCATTCCTTTGATCATTAAGCGTTGAGTTATTCATTATCTCTTGTCACTTCATTAACTTTTTCCCTTTTTGCGTTATTAGTTAAGTTTTTTTTATTTTTAATTATGTTCTTTTTATTTTTTGGGTAACTATCTATATTATTACTTTTTGTTGTTTGTTGGTTGTTTTTTTTTTCTTTATTTGTTTATTTTATTAATGTGTCACTCCAATGACTTTTTTTTAACTATATGAATCTAATTTTGTAAAATTATAAATAAATCTGTAATTTTTTCAATTTTATGGTTAAAATAGATTTAGAAAAATACTCAAGTCACAAAGTAAATGTTTTGAGAATATATACTCTGCTCAGAGATAACAGTTTATTTTTTTTTAATTTTTTAATTGACCCACCGGTGGGTTGAGAGACATGACGCTTTGCTGACGTCAAAAAAATACTATTACAGAGTCATAAAGATATTGTCATAACTGTTGGGGGTGTTATTGATGAAGTTTTTAATTATTTCAATGTTTCTGATAAATGAATCTTTATTATAAACGACATGCTAAACTAACAACTGCTTTTACTTTCTAACTTTTATTCTGTAACTAACTGCTTTACACGGTGGCCACCGTGTTTCACAGAGTAAAAACAGTTGTTAGTTATATATATTTTTATATATATTAAAATAAAAAAGTGAAAAACGAAAATAGTAAAAATGATATGGTACACTAGAATTTAAATAGGTAAATAATCGCCATAAAAATAAATAATCGCCAAAGGATATGATTTGAGTTTTTATAAAGAGCGTTTTTCATTTTTAATTGTGTTACAAAAAATGTTTTTAATAATGTCTGTTCTACTTCAAAATCTGTAAATTAATCTGTAAATAAATCTGTATTCTTACCTGGTGATTTAAAAAAATTGATCTTATACAATAAATTAATGACATTGCGACGTCTGATTTTTTAAACTTATTTTCTTTTTATAATATTCGCCTTTTTATCACTTTGCCAACTAGAATTAATGACCACTCTGGTACAATTATTAATGACATTTTCTCTGATTTAAAAACTAATGAAATTATTTTAGGTAATTTGAAAACTTCTGTTTCTGATCACTTAACTTAATTTTGTATTTGTCCTAATTTCAATCAATTATTTGTTCCACGCAGATACAATTTATATAGCAGTATTTTTTAAAAACTTCTATAAAAAAAACTATAAACCTGATTTTTTCTAAAATACACTGGGATGATGTTTAAAGTTCAATCATACTAATTCATGTTTCCAAACGTTTATTACTAAAACAACATTGAGTATAGATCGTTATGCCCCGGAATACAAATAACACTACAAACGGAATTATAAAATCTAATTAAGTGCGGATTCTTTTCCAACAAAAAATGTTAAGATCTAAAGAGCTTATTATTTGAAATGTTAAGATCTAAGACCTTATTGTTTGAAAGTATTTTGAAAAGATATAAGTTTATGATAATTATATTAATTAAACTTAGTAAAAAAATTAATTATAAAAATTTTTTCTCCGAAAATGAAAAAATCTTCGCAATTGAATGCATTTGGAAATGTATTAACATTCTAATAAATGTCAAAAATTTTAATAAATTATCACCAAACCGCTTGCAAGAAAATAAAACTTATCTAACTAACCCAACTCTAATCTATGAATCATTAAACACTTTTTTACAAACGTTGCTCATAAACTTAAATCAGATATTCATTCATCTTACACAAATATTTATTCGTCTTGCGTTAACTATCAAAAATATCTTAAACATCCAAATTTACATTATTATCTCTAACAAATATTTCTGAAATTTTATCTTTTATATCTAAATTGAGTTCAAAAAAATCAATAAGTCCAAACAGCATTCCCACAAACATTCCTATAAATTTTAACTATGAATTTGCGAATATTCTTTTTAAATTACTTAATATCTCATTCATAAATGGAAAGTTGACTGATTTTTTGAAAGTATCTTGCGTTATTCCAATATTTAAAAATGACTCTTAACATTCATGCTCTAACTATATATCTAACATTAGTAAATTTCTTGAAAAACTTATGTATTCAAGAAAGTACTCTTTTCTAAACTCATTTAATTGTTTAAATGATTTTCAATTTTGTTTTTCGATCAAAGCATTCTACTTGCTTTGCATTAATAAGTGTAACAGAAAAAATCAGAAAAGCTCTTAATAATGGTCATTTCGATTGTGGTGTTTTTATCGATTTACAAAAAGCTATTGATACCGTAGATCATTCTATATTGATTTTTAAATTGAAACATCATGAAATTCGCGGTATTGTAAATAACTGCTTTTGATTTTATTTTTCAGATCGAAACAATTTTTAAGTATTAATGGTTTTAATTTTAGTAATAAATCAATTTTGTTTCTTTTACATTGATGAATTAAGCAAGAAACTAAGTACTAACTACTCTCGAGGTAATGGTATGCTAATTCGTCATTATGTCAACAAAGTTGCAGTTAAGAATATTTACAATGCATTATTTTCATCTCATCTTAACTATTCTTAACAAGTTTGGGGTCAAGTTTGGGGAAAACTATCACATTAACTTAAATTTATGCTTATAACTACCATTATAATATTTGTTATTATTATTTTTTTTCAATACTATTACTATAATTTGTATAAATTTTGTTATCTTATATTATTATTATATATTATTGTTATTATTGCTATTATTATTGTTGCTATTATTTTCATTCGATAAACATTGATTTTGAAATGAATGGCTGCAGCAAATAAAATTAACATTATATAAAATTAATTAGAAGCGATTTTGAATTAAAGATGGTGTAGCTCTTTCAATGTCCCGAAGTCTATCTTATGAGGTAGCATTCTTATGATATATATCCAAATTTTTCAGATCTTCTAATTTTACCTATGCGTACGAATAGTTAAATCGCAGACGGCACGCTGTCCTTCAACATGGTTGAGGTAAGCGAAAGATACTATGACTCAAAATGAGGTTTTGTTTTTTTTTAAAAACGAAGACCAGATATATTACTGATTTGAGGAGAAGTGTAGGAGAGTGCTGCTACATCGATTAATCTATACCTGTCTTAACCCAAACCCTCAGTCGATGTAGCAGCATTCCCTTGCATGCTATCCCTAAATTAGTCAATGTAGAAGCTTTCTCCTACATTTCTCCCCAATTCATTAATATATCTGGTCTTCGTTTTTTAAAAAATCAAAACCTCATTTTGAGTCATAGTATCTTTCGCTCACCCATGGTTGACGGCGAACTATTTATTCAATATAATTCCATGTTAAAACTCTATAACTGTGCACGTTTAATGTATTACTTTTATGAATGCTTTTTGTTTAATTTCTTAAAATTAAAGTTTCGATATATTTTTTAGCTATGTACAAATGATCTTTGAAGAATGTTTATCACAAAATTTTTAAGGAGCTGTTCTGTGGTTATTCAAAGTAAAGGTTCATTATGCAATATAGATAATGGTGTGAAGTTTTTATACCTTGAATCATTTCAAAAATCTTTTCCAAAACTACTTTTTAAAGAAGTTGGAGTTGTTAAAGAATTGCCACCAATAGGCAATGGTTTTATGGAAATTTATGATAAAAACCCATTTTTAGATATCAGTTTGCCTTCAACTGCTAATAATGTTTTAGAACTTCCTAACGCCGAAAAAATCAAAGGTCAATTAGAAAAAAATAGAGTTAATATAGAACAGTATAATCCGCATAGAAATAAAGGTAAACTAAGTTGTGTTACTCATGCAGGTATTTTGGAGATTCGAAGAAAAAAAATGAACAAGCATAAATTTAAAAAAAGAATAAAACGAGATCGTGCAAAAAGAAGAAAAATTTTGCATCTGCGATCAAAAAAAAAGAAACGCATTCATAGTGAAAAAAAGCAGTTACTAGAAGAAAAGGTTTCAGAAATTTTGAAAAAAGATCCCAAATCAACATACCATTTGAGACCATATGTTGTTTATAGGCTTAAAAATTGGTAGTTGTATTAGTTAGTAGTTAAAAAGAATCATAAAAAGTCTGTTTTTTATGAATCATAAATGTGAGTTTTTAAGATCTTGCAACTGTTGTTTTTAAATTGAAACTAAACTCTGTGTAAATGTTTTAGTTCTTTTTTTAAAACTTGTAACATTTTTAAAAATACAAAAATAAAAATAATTTTTCGAATTATTTATATTGGTATTATTTTGTCTAAAAGGTTCTTAGTACTTTTGAAACATGGTTGGAACAAGATGAGCTACTTGAAACATTGAAATTATAAATTTTATAACTGAAATTGGATTTTATATTGCAAATAAACTTTGTTTATTTATCTAATTTTGTATATTTAAAATATATTAGGTTAAAATATTTTACTGTTTTTTATGTTTTCAACTTTTATGCTGCCAAGTATCTTTAAATTTTGAAGTTTTTATAGATATAAAGAATTTAAAATGATTATTATTTGAAATTCTTATATAATTTCACTTCTTTTTAGACCCAAAAAAACATTTATCATTTTTGAAAAACTTTTTTTTTTTTAATTAGTATTAGAGAGCCATTAAATGTTAATGGGCACTTCAAAAAATATATTTTATTCAAAAAACTTATATATATATATATATATATATATATATATATATATATATATATATATATATATATATATATATATATATATATATGGTTATCTTTTTCTGGAATTCCCGATATTTTTCCGGATATTCAAAACATCTTCAATACATGCAAGTTGAGGTATACATTTTTGTAAATATTTGTTTTTAAAGCTTTTTTACTCATCATTCATAGAAAAGTAATGAACTGTCAAAAAAAAACAAAAAAAATTTAGCTAATAGCGAAATTAAAAAAAAAATAAGGGAAAACAAATTTTGGATTTTTTTTGTATATTTCATTCAAACAATTTTCCGAATTTTTAAAATATGACTAGGATGATCTATGATATATATATATATATATATATATATATATATATATATATATATATATATATATATATATATATATATATATATATATATATATATATATATACACACACACGCACACACACTCCCTAATATTATAAAAAATATTATAAAAGTCTTTTAAAAGTATGACATGTTAGGACTCAAAAAAAGTGAAATTATATAAAAATTTCAAAAATAACAATCATTTTATAAAAAAATCATTATTTCAAGTTTTTAAAAATAAGTTTTATATATATATTTTTAAAAATAAGTTTTATATATATATATATATATATATATATATATATATATTTCATAATATATAAATTTCAAAAACAATAATAATTTTTTAAAAATATATAACTCTAAAGTTTATTGCAAAATTTTCTTGATAATAATTCTGAAAAAAATTTTAAATAATGATTTTTTATAAAATGATTGTTATTTTTGAAATTTTTATATAATTTCACTTTCTTTGAGTCCTAACATGTCATACTTTTAAAAGACTTATAATATTTTTTATAATATTAGGGAGTGTGTGTGCGTGTGTGTGTGTGTGTATATATATATATATATATATATATATATATATATATATATATATATATATATATATATATATATATATATATATATATATATTTAAGTTATATTTTAAATAAAGATCATCTTTTATTTTAAATTATATAAAAATAATTTTATCATCTAGAAGTTTTATAACTACTTTTTTTCAGTAGTTTTTAATTAAAACAATAGCAGTTAATAATTATTTTTTTATCATTTTCAACTTCAGTTTAACTTTGTGCTTTAAAAATTTATAATAAATGGCTATAAAAAAATTTAAAAAAATGAACATCCCCTGTCAACTTTAGTATTTGCAGTCAAGATTATTAGTTTTATTGTTGTTGTTGTTGTTGTTGTCGTTGTTATTGATATTTTTGGTACTGTTGTTATTATTATTGTTATCATTATTGTTATTAGTAGTAGTTATATATTATAACTTATTTTACATTTTATGTACTTATACTACAAAGTATAAAATCTTATAAATAATGAGTAGAAGTGAAAATTTGTTAACTGGGGAGGTAGACAGTTCTTCTTTTTTATATAAAAAACTACTTTTTGATTACAAAGACAATTTCGGACAATCCAATAATGATCAAGAATATAATTTGGTTGCCCCAAAACCAGGCTGGTGCTTAAAAACAAAAGTAGATAGTGGCGAAAAAGTTTTTATAAATATATGCACATCTGATCTTGTTTTAAAACCAAAAGATTTGACAGAAAATGAGGTGCGGAAAATTGTTGAGTCAGAAGATCCTACTAAATTTAGAATCCCAATGGGTATTGGTGAGCCTCATAAAGAGAAAGATAAGTCTGATAAAGGTATATATTTTAATAAATATAAATATATTAACATATAATATTTAATTTATATAAAAAATATATAATGAAGTTAGTCTCATTCTTTCACCAGTTTTTTGGTCATTGAATAAAGTTTTGACTTTTTGTAACATCTAAGCTTGTGTATGTTTTACTATATACTAGTTATATGATATGAATTATTTTAAGTATTGATTGTTTGTCATTGTGATATATTATGTAGTTGCTTACCATATATAAGATATATATTTATATTTATTTATCATGCTAGAACTTATTTTTGCTCTTAGGTTTTCCTCAATATAGCTTTACTTTAGCAAAATCCTTGAATAAAGTGGTCAAGAAAAATAAAATATTTAGAATATTTTATTTTCTTTATAAAAAAATAAAATTTTAAAAATTCAAGGTCAGTTAGATTTTTGGCTATTTAATTATCTTTTAGTTAATTATGTCAACAATTTTTTCTGGTGATAATTATAAATTTTCACCAAGGTTCATCAAAAGTTGGCTGAAAATTTCTATTCACTTTGACTCAATAATAAAATAAATAAATAAATAATTTAAAAAAAATAAAGTAATAATTAAATACAAATAAAATTAAAAAAAAAAAAAAAATTCTGACCAGTATTTCAAGAGATATTTCAATTAGTAAATTCTTGGCACACCTGAAACAGAAAAATGGACAGAATCAGTATCACAAGGCAGAGCTTGAAATAGCTGTTGGACATCGGACATTGTCCAGTAAAATATGATGTCTATCAGTCATTTTGTCCAACCCATATTTTGTGTGCATTTATTTTATAATCATTTTAATTGTTCCAAAATTGTTAATAAATTTAGTATTGTAAATAAACTTTGTTTTTTTAACTTTCTATTTTTTATAAACAACAGAAAATAAGTTGAAATTATCTATGTTAATAAAATGCGTCATTTTTCCTAATAGTTTATAATATTTTAATAGTTTAGTTATAAATACATTAAATGCATAAACTTAATAGTTTATGTATTTAATGTATTTATAATTTATAATAATTTACAAAGCATTTTGCATAGTATATTACTTTTTAAAAAACGTAATATAAATATATTTTCCTTTTCAAATTTTAGTTTTTTGAGCTAGGAATTTTTCTTTTTCTTTTAGATTTTTTCTCTTTTTAGATAAATTATCTTTTAAATTTTGTTCTTATTTTCAGCGCATTTTCGAAATGCCTAAAGTTATAAAACAAACTGCCATGTTCAAGTTGTAAAAACAAAATATTTTATGCGTGTTCAGGAATGGCGTTCTGTTACACTTTTTTAGGTTTAGCAGATATTTTTTCCTAACTTGAATATTTATTTAAAAAAATTTTCCGGAACAAAAATATTTGTTACTTTAAGCCCTAATTATACATTCTAAAGCTTATTTTTTTAATTCAAATTTCATGTTATATTTTGTGTATATATATATATATATGTATATGTAAACATCATTATGATTAACATGATCATTATAATCATTAATGCCATCATCATCATCATCATCATCATCATCATCATCATCATCATCATCATCATCATCATCATCATCATCATCATCATCATTATCATCATCATCATACTCTAGAAAACACTTTGACCTCTCCAACTATCCTACAATTAGACTACACTTTGTTATTAGTTTCTTTATATAAAGTTTTTGAGATTATTAAATCATTTTTTTTCTAACTGCAGTATTAAAGTGATTCTTGAAGGCCTACGCTCTTCTTCATTTCGAGTATCTTTAAGAGTACCACAAGGTTCTATCTTTGCACCTGTATTGTTTCTTATCTACAATAACAATCTTCATGAAAATTTTATATCTAAAGTGGCTATATTTGCTGATGACTCAACTTTATACTCTTTTCTTGACAAAAAGTTTTGATTAAAACAAGCAGCAGATTTTTAATCTGATCTCTCTTTAACTTATGCATACCTCACTGTAACAACCTCACTCAGCCTAAAGCTTAACTGTAACAGCCTAAAGCTTGCAGTTTTATTCATGTGTTTTGTAATGCCAACAATAATTATTTGGTGTTGAAATTAATAATATCCAATTATAGTAGCCAATGCTAGTTACGCTGTTTTGCACTATCCCCAACAATATAAATATTATAAATTTTTTCCAAGCCCTGGCTATCAACTCCAGCTGAATCTTGTATTTTTGCCGGAGCTGGTCATTATGCTATCAATATAATGAGATATTTAAACATTTTTAAATATCTCATATTGATAGCATAAGTATCTATATCATGACATATGTGGAAAAAATTTTATCCGGTGTTTTGATTTTTTTAGAAGTTTTAAGCTTTTTAAAAACTTCTCTCCCTTTCATTTGGTATTATATATAATATCTTTATATATGTTATGTATATTATATCTATAGAACTTTAAAAATGTTTTATATTATGTTTTAGAAAATTGGAAAAGGTTTAAAAAATAAATTATATGTGCAAATGATGCACTTCAGAAGTGTAGCAAAAACCACAGCTGACCGCTTTGGTTAGCTGTGGTTTTTAGCTTAATCAAGTAGGTATAATCACCATTTCCTACATAAACTAACATAAACTAACATGAATGATCAATAAGTTGAACAATATATAATATGATTATTCTGTCTTTTAAGAAGCGTTATGTTGGATGCATTTTACGTACAAAATGATTATTTTACCTAAATGTTAAGCCATTTATGATACACCAAAATTCTTATCAATAGTACTAGCTGACTGGACCCATAAAAAGTATACGGTTCTTTGTAAGTTTTTTCCATCAACCTTTTCTATACATGTTTTAAAATTAATTTTAATGGATTAGTTAAAACATAACGAGCAAAACAACAACAAGAATTTAGATAATCTGAGAAAGATTAAGTCATTAAAAGGTTAATCCTTTTTTTAGTGAAGTCAGTGTCAAGTAGTTTTTTAAGATTACTTGACACCAACCCTACTAGGCACCGCTCAAGTAGCATTGAAAAGGTTACTTGACACCAATGAACAATCACGGGTGCCTAGTAGCATTATTGATCTTTCATCTCTACTTGGTAAAAAAATGTAATCTAAATGAAAATGATTAAACCAATCTCTACAATAAGTATGAGGATATAAAAAAGAAAAGTCAATTGTGGTCAGCAAGCACAAAAGATTATTCTAACAAAACTTTTCAAAACTTATTTGCTTGTGGCAGTGTATATCGTGAATGGCTATTTTAAAAAGTATGTATTATTTATGAGGAGTTTGCAATCACTTGCTATCATCAAAGAATGAAAATGTTTTAATCATAACCTACACCTTAGATTTTAAGTATCAAATATGCCAATTATTTTTTTATATAGAAAATAAAAAAAATTACTTATGTAATCCATTTTTATGCATTTTTTTAAATTACAATTTGGTATTAAGTTGGATATTTTGCAATAGTTTGCAAAAAAAAGTAGCCATAAACTTTGGCAATGCGGTAAATTGCGATAATTAGATATGAGGGGCACTCAGTTACAAATGGGATATTTAGTTAGGTAATTGTGATGCTATCATTTTTATGGAGCAAATCATTAGGTGGTTTATTGTGAGTTAACTTTTATGGAAAAGTATAGTTTGATTTAATGCAATTTTTTATCGCTTTTTATTGCAAAATTAAAAAAAGTCGCTTTTCTTCTAACAGCCAAAGCAGTAATGCCAGTGCTTAGTTTGATATATCTCTAGTATATATATCCTATCTTTCCAGACTAGTAAAATAAGGCTCTTTAACAAACTAATTATTTCTATACTTATCTATTCCGCCCAATCATTTCTATACTTATTCCTTATTTACTTCAATATTTTTTAGTCAACAGTAGAAAAACATTAAAAAAAGACTGCTTTAAGAGTAAAAAAAATTTATTAAGTCTCAGAGCTTATTAGGACTAATTACCTGAGCATATGTGGAACAAATTTCTCCTGGTGTTATGATGTTTTTAGAAATATAAATGATTTAAAAATTCTCTCCCTATTGTTACTTAAAGTATATAAAATAAATTATATATGTTATGTATATAATATCTATAGAACTTCAAAATGTTTTATTTCGTATTTAAAAAAATTAAAAAAGAAAAAAAATTATAATAATCAAAAGGTTGAGTTAAAAAAATAAAATACTTTATACAGATTAAACTTTTCATTATTTTAAATATAAAGTTTTATAGTTAAAAAAACTTTATATTAAATATAGTTTCAAGATTAAAAATTTAAATTTTGAAGGTGTCTAAAATATCTTTGAATCTTTTTTACTTAAATATTTTTTTTTCTTTGTTTTTGCAAACTAATAATTCATGCATACAAGTCTCTCCATCATAGATTAAAATGTGTGAAAACAGCGAAAAAACCTTTTTTTTTTTTATTAAGAAACCAAGAAGCGTTTTTAAGAGAATTCTTTTCACAAATGGAATTAAGTTTTTTTCTTTCTGATTAATGTAATTATTATAATTCAATATCATAAATAGTTTCTTTGACATAAGTTTTATTTATGAATATAAATTAAGAAAATCTTGGTAACTGATGCAATCTATAAATTATTGCAATCTTTATTAAAAATATTATATTAAATATTCTTATAAAAAAAAAATTGTAAGAAAGCAAAAAAAAAGATTATTAACTTAAGTATAAGTTTGTTTTGAAAAAAACTAATAAGTAAAAATAGTCTTTTTCAAATACCTAATTTTGAATTCATAAGTAATATTTGTTATTGATATATATTTTAAAAGATTTTTAATGTGGTTTAAAGTTAAATTTAATTACAATTCGGTACTTTAAAATGGACTAATGGCGCAATTTAACTTTTAACAATGTAAATATGTAAGCTTTTTTTGAGTTACATTTATATGTGTTTTGCTTTTCCGTTATGTAATGAAATCTTATAATAAGATCTGATTATTATTATTATTTTAATATTTTTTTAAAAAAACAACATGTTATTGAACTTTTTAAATGAGAAATTAAAAAGTTTTTTCATAGATTTTTTTTTATATATATACAGATGTGAATGCATATGATATTGTGATTCATCCAGAGTTTTTCGAAAAATGCAAGAAGATCCAGTTTTTTAAAGAATTCTTTATCATGTTAGTTTTTGAAGGGATTGAAAATAAGTTCAATATTTCTTTATCGCGGGAGTATCGTATATTAAAGAATCGTAAAGCTGTTGGTTCTTTAAGGATGCAAAATGTACGAAGTAAAGCTACTCCAGTCATAATGGATATGGATTCATCAATGTATGAACTTGAGAAAGAAGCCATTGGTATGCTTCAATTTTTTTTAACTCTATTAGTTTACCTAATACATACATATATACATACATACATACATACATACATACATACATACATACATACATACATACATACATACATACATACATACATACATACATACATACATAAATACATGCATCCACACATACATACATACATACATATATACATACATACATACATACATACATACATACATACATACATACATACATACATACATACATACATACATACATACATACATACATACATACATACATATATACATACATACACATATACATACATACAAACATACATACATTCATACATACATACATACATACATACATACATACATACATACATACATACATACATACATACATACATACATACATACATACATGTATATTCTGGATGTTTTATTTTTTATTACTGTTTACATACATTGACTGACAAATAGGTAGAACATGTGAGGATTGTTGTTACATTGACTAATAAATAGGTAGAATATGTGAGGAGTGCTAAAATATTGACTAGGGGTTTGGGAAGGCAATCTATTTATTAAAAAAAAATTATATAAGAGTTTTTTAGGTATTCTAAGTTTTTTAGGTATTCTTTTTTAGGTATTAACTAAATTAATTAAAAAAATTATGATAATTAGCTGAGATTGGACCCGCAGAAATACGGGTTTTTGTAAGTCCAACCCTTGGAATTAGGGTCGCCATTCGGCAATGTTGACCTAACTGATTACCTAGAAATGTTTAAACATAAAAAAAAATAAACCTTAAAAAAGACTACAAAAATATAATTTTTTGTAATTCAAAAGCTCTCACTGAAAATTTAACTGATAAAAATTATTTCAAATATTTGAAATTTGGCAAAAAAGATCACAAATATTTTTTTCAAAAACTCAAAAACTTGCACAGCAAATTTAATAAAACTAAATTATTTCTAATATCTGAAATTAGGCAAAAAAAAGCCACTAAAACTTATTAACATTTTTTCAAAATCAACACAATTGAGATGAATTATTAGCATCATATGTGAAATAAATCATCCATTCCTTCCTTCCATGATGACTTTCGTGAATGATGAAGGAAAAAATTTCTGACAAACTTGTTGTTAGCCTCTGAGGCTTCTTTGCTTGTCAAACCAATGGGCAATGGACAATACTCAATCAAGTCTTTGCCATGCTTCAACATTTTATAAAGAGTTGGAGGCATATGATACCAACCAACTCAATTTTCTTGGTTGAAGTAGATCTTTTCAGTTTCTTGGTACAAGTTTTCAAATTTTTGTGAATCTATAGGAAATCCTGATGTAAGAGCTCCCCATAATGTGGAAATATTTTCAACAAGCTAAACTGGCACATTGTATATTTGTGCAGTGATACCAGTATTGTCGAAAGCTTTCCTGGCAACATTACCAGTTGTAGTTGTGCCAGCTCCACCATCTCTTCGTTTATCAATGATAATCTCAAGTTTTTCCTCAAAATCAGCTTTCACTTTTTTCTCCCCTTCTACCACAGTTGATTTTTCTTGCTCAGAGAGCCTTTCGCTACACTTTTTTACATCTTGGCAGTATCCAATGTGATAAATTACCTCAAATGATCTCAATCCAAAGTGTAGTATTGATGCACCAAACTGAAGGGTGCCCTCTTTTGGTCTGGTTTTGTAATAGCTTTGAATGTCTTGTGACAAATGGCACATAAAGTTGAGGCGGGACACTTTGTTAATTGTTGCAGCACTTTGCCATCAATCATGGTAAGGAGTCCACGATATAAAACCTCAATCCTTGGATTGTCACTTATGACCAAAGGCTTTAGATCAACAACTTCTTTTTGAATCCTATCAGCCTCTTTGAATAGCCTCCTTTGTTTCTCTTTTGTATGAAATTCAAATTGGTCTGCAAGACTGAGATAAATTTGAAAAGTTGTTATGATAGATGATGACATTGGTGCAATTTGCATCAACAATCTGGATGGGTACCAGTTAAATGATCAGCAAGGTGCTGCCATCTGGAATTTTGCTAGTAGAATCTTTTTAAAGGTGCTAAAAGAACCACATCCATCAAACCCATACTTAAAGTAAAGGATTAACTTCAGTGGATTGCCATTCTCAATGAGAGCCGAAAGCAGAGACTCATCCAGAATCTTTTGAGTGGTTTGATCCAGTAACTTTTGGATTGGGACCTAAACTAAATGTTCTTCAATTGAATACCATCAGGACAGCACATTTTTTTAGCCTTAACTACCAAATTATAGTTTGGCCAAACATTGCCATTACTCTCTGTGCAGGCATTTTTTATTGAGTTGTACTGATCTTTGGTCATATCATTCAACAAGAGGAAAGCAAAGCTTAGATTAGAGTTTTTTTCTAAATTTCAGGTTTCTCTGAAGTAATTGCTTTTATTGACTTTAGGACCTTTTCATCAGTTTCACCTGTAGACATTTTGATCAACTTTCCCATGAAATTTTGTTGTTGAGAGGCAGCTTTAGTAATAGCTTTTGGTTCATGTTCTTGCCTTATCTTTGCCCTTGCAATTTGTTTTGCTCTGACCAATTGCTCTCGGAATGAAAGCTCCTTTCTTCCAGCCTTTTTTTCTTCTGGAAAACGTTTCTTTTATGCATCTTTTTCTTGTGAGCATTTACAAGCAGCAACCTCAATGAAAGTGTTAGACAAAAAGACTGCATTTGATTAGCTGTTGAAGATCTTTTTAAAGAAATGTTTCTTATACCTCGAAATAGCATGTGAGAGCAAGGTATGTAAGTAAGTAATCTCAACATCTTCTGTTTGATAATCTGAACAAAGGAAGCACTCTATGTCATCTGTAAGAAGTTGGAGCTGGCTTTGGCAATCTGTGAATGGAACATCATTTTCTGTGGTAAAGTGGTAGGAGCTTGATGCAATGTAATTTTAAGTGAAAATCAAACTGTAAAACTTGTTAAATGTTTCAGTATGTTTTAACATTACTTTATTTAAAGTCTACGTACGTTAAGTATTTGCATACACGTTCATTCACGTTTTCTTATGAAACAAAGTGCTGTGAATCTTTCTCGCCACTACCTCGGTTGCAATGGCTGTCAAAGGTTCTGTGTCAAACACACTCGAATGAGCACTACTACTAACACTGTTAAGTTTGGTAATAATATATAAGATAAAGTTTACATTTTATGTATTTTTTTTCCTTCAATTTTCAAATTTTTATGTTATAAAAGTATAAAAAGAAACAATAAAAGAACATGTGTTATTATAAGTAATGGGACTGAAAGAATGTTGCTTCATATGCCACTAATAAAGTTACAGTCCACTGACTATGTTTTGAAATTCAGAAAGTAAAATGTGTCGGCATGAATGTTCTATTGTTGCATCTTGCATTGCTTTTATTTGGCAATGAAAAATGCTTTATTAGAGTTAATCAATGTAAAGAATTCTAGAAATTAGCTTAAAACTTTTTAGAGTTTCCGGATATTTCAATGTTTTTTGCAATTGATTTGTAATATAAGATTTTTTAAAATAACATTTCTTTGCAACATCTATATTTTCTATTACTAAAATTTTTACAAGTAAGATGTATATTTGTAATAAATTTTTTTTTCTGTAAATAGTTATAGAATTTTAATTCATACAAATAAGTTATTTCAAATATTTAGAAATCTTTTTAGTAAAAAGTAAGTTGATGTAAATTCCATTTGATAAATTTATGAAATTTTTTTGTTAAAAACTTTTTTATAACTGTCAAAAGATAATTCGAAAAAGAGAAAAATTCAAAAAAAAAAAAAAAACTAGAATTGTTGAAAGTTTTCAACACTTTCCAATGTAATAAAACATTACCTTATAAGGTTTTCTGACATAATGAAATATTACTTTATTTGATTTGTATGTTGAAATTCTTCCTATTTTTAAATCATTCGTTTAAATCCATTTATGACAAGCAAAATGAGCTTGTAAAAACAATTTTTTAAAGATTAAAAAATGTATTGCCATCTCAGCACAGAAAGTAATGCTGAAAAATATCTGTCAAAAATCATTATTCGTAATCCTGACTTTAAATAATCGTTTTTTAAGATCTTCATGGTAAGCTCTTAGCAAGGTCTTTAAAATCATTAGTTTTCTTTATAAATTTCCTTTTAAAAACCATTCATTAAAATGCTTTTCTGCAATCAACCCAAGGTTTTAAGGTCACAAAATTACAGTGAGAATGCTAAAATAAGTTTATTCCACCTGTAGATATAAAGTAGTATTTATTTGAGAAGTTAGGCAGTTTCATATAGATATAGTGCTTCCACCCATAGTTGCTGAGTTCCACCCATAGTTGCTGAGTTCCACTCATAGTTATTTTTATTCAACCATATCAATAAAATTTACAAATTTCATCGTAAATTAATATAAATTGGTTAGGTGTCACTCATATAGTTACAAACTAGTCAATGGAGTGACACCTAAAAAACATGAAAACTTCACGAAAAAACAAATAAATAAATAAATAGAAAAAACAAAAAGAAACAAAAAAAAAACAAAAGAAAAAAAAAAGCAAAAGGAAAAACTCAACATCTGTATATATAAATAAGAGAGAAAAAAAGAAAAGATTGTTAAACAAATAATAATGATATATGTAATAATAATAGTAATAATACAAAATAATAACAACAATAATAAAGTACCAATAATATTAAGAATATTATAATACAATATAAATTGTATGTACAAATCATAGATGATAATTAGATATAATAATAACATAAAATGTAACATTAATAACACAATAATAATTAAATATAAGATAGGTAAATAATAAATAAAGTAAAAATCAAACCACTTGTTCGTTAAAGAGATTATATATTGAAGACAACTACAGTACAGAGAGAGAAATTGTAAAGAAATACACTCCAGCAATATATTTTTTAATTGAATTCTGTTGAGCAGTAAAATATTCGTAATAAGTTGATATTTTTTCTTAGACTTTGTTATGCTAAATATGTTCTATGCATCAAGTTTAA